AACTTGGGAATGACTATTTCTCTTGTTTGCATATTACTAGTCTTGTCTTTTTAAAGATATCTTTCTTTTTTTTATAAATATTTTTTTAAAGATGGACACAATATCTTTATTCATTTTATTTTTTATGTGGTGCTGAGGATCAAATCCAGTGCCTCACCCATGCTAGGCAAACACTCTACCACTGAGCCACAACCCTAACCCCCAGCCTTATCTTTTAGGAAGAGATTACCTTCTTCTGTATTATGTTGTTTAGGAAGGTGGCAATTTCCTAGCAGGAGTCTGGTCCTAGTTGGCTGTGGGTTTTCTCTTTGTTTCCAGAAAGCAATACTTTCAACTCTTATTAAATTCATTTGAGCAGCTAATTACATTTTTAAAAAATTCTAGGTCTTTCTTTGACAGATGAGTGGGAGGAGTTTGGCAATACATCTCCCTATTAAGAAAATGGTTTCTAAGTTGGAAAGTGCTATAAAAGATAGAGCAATTATTATTATTTTTTAAGTCTCTTGAGACTTCTAAATTAGTTTACTCTTTGTCTACTAAGATGTATGTGACAGGAAGTCTTGAAAGTAGCTTTAACTGAACCCTTAAAATTGAGGGAAACTCTGTCAGAGAGTTAAATAACACTTACTAAATAGATATAGTGACCAGAAATTCGTGTACTGTGGTCCAGAGATAGATTCATTCACTCACCATGTATTTATCAAGTGCTCTTGCCAGTGTCTGGAAACAGTGGATAGCAAGGCGTTTATGATCTAACATAGAAAATTGGTTTAATATACATAAATATGAGGTAATCAAATACAGAACCACCTCCCATCTTAACACTTCATGACTTCTCAAATTAAAGTTCTTTAATTTGTTCTTTAATGTGGCATTTAAGGCCCTCCAAGCTCCTGTTTCTCCTACCTTTTTAGTTTTCTCATATAACTCTATAGCAGCACTGTCCAACAGAAATATAAAACAAGCTGGATGTGCTAGCGCAGGCCTGTAATCCTAGGATCTTGGAAGGCTGGGCAGGATGATCACAAGCCTGGGCAATTTAGTGAGCTCCTGTCTCAAAATAAAATAAAAAAGTCTTCGTAATGGAGCATGCCCTGTAATCCCAATGGTTCAGGAGGTTGAGGCAGGAGGATCACGAGTTCAAAGTCAGTTTAGGCAATTTAGCAAGGCACTTAGCAACCCTGTCTCTAAAATACGGGGGGAAAAAAGTGAGGGTAGGAGGGTGCGGTGCTGGGGATGTGGCTCAGTGGCTAAACACCCTGGGTTCAATTCCCAGTACTAAAAAAAAAAAAAAAAAAAAAAAATCTGAGAGTGTACCTTGATGGTAGAGTACTTGCCTACCATGTTCAAGGTTCTGGGTTCAATCCTCATTATCCACCTCCTTTTATATACATATATATATATATATATATATCAATCCACAAATCTGATTTTATTTTCGCTTACAATTATATTTTAAAAAGTAAAAAAATTATGTAAATTAATTTTTAAATTTTTGTACTGGAAATTGAATCCAGGGGAGCTTAACCACTGAGCCTTATATATCCCCAGCCCTTTTTATTTTTTAATTTGAGACAGGGTCTTGCTAAGTTACTTAGGCGCTAAATTGCTGAGGCTGGCCTTGAACTTGGGATCCTCCTGTCTTAGCTTCTTGAGTCACTGGGATTATAGGCCTGTGCCATTGCACCTGGCAGATAATTTACTTTTAACAATGTATTTTATTTAACTAATACAAAAAAAATGTATCATTTAACATATATATATATATATATATCTCCAATATTTTAAAACCCTAAGAAATTTTGCTTTCTTTTTCATACTAAATCTTCAATATTTGGTGTGTATATTATATTTACAGCACAACTCAAGTCACATTAGCTACATTGAAGTTCTCAAGAGTCACATGTGGTTAGTGCTACTGCCCCATTCAGATGCAAGTATTTTTTCTCTACATGTAGCAGATACCACATTCTACTGAGGCTGTTTGTATATTTATTATCTCCATATCCTCTACCATACAGGTTTATCTCATGATTTACCTACTTTAGTGTCTTTAATGTGATAAAATGATAATAATCAACACCTCCTGAGGACTTGTCCAAGCTCTGTGAACCGGTGGTGTTTACTGCTGAACTACATCCCCAAGCCTTTTTTTAAAAATTTTGAGACAGGATCTTGTTAAGTTGCCTAGGCTGTCCTTGAACTTGTGATCCTCCTGCCTTAGCCTCTTTTTCTTCAATATTTATTTTTTAGTTTTAGGTCGACACAATATCTTTATTTTATTTTTCTGTGGTGCTGAGGATCGAACCCAGTGCTTCATGCATGCTAGGCGAACACCCTACCACTGAGCCACAACCCCGGCCCAGCCTTTATTTATTTATTTTTTAAACTGGGTGGAATATGAACCATTTTTAAAAGTATTTATTTATTTTTATATGGTACTATGGGTAGAACCCAGTGTCTTACACATGCTGGGGAAGTACTCTGCCACTGAGTGATAGCTCTAGCTTTGCCTCACCCTCTTGAGTCCCTGGGATTACAGGTGTGTACCACCACACCCAGCTGCTCTTTTATTTTTAAATTGGCAAACATGTGGAAAATGTATAAACAATAAATATACTATAGTCTAACAAATTATACAGTTTACAACTGTGTAACTACCACCTATACCAAGAAATAGAGAGTTGTAGACTGTCTGCCGGCCTCTTCCCAATCTCAACTCCCTCCTCTTAGGGCTTCCAGAGGTAGTCATTACTTACCCTTTTATGGTAACCAATTCCTTGCTTTTTTTATATTTTAACACCTAAGTATGTATTCTTTTTTTTTCTTTTTTGAAAATTATAAGATGGAATTACACAGTATATATTATCTTATATATAATTTTTTTAACATTATGTTTTAAGAATTCATCTATTTGTAGCTTGTTCCTTTTCCTAAATTGCTCTATTAATTTGCTCTTCCTGTAGCAAAGTATGAGAATTCCCAATGTTTTCTGCTCCTGGTCAACATTTGCAATTGTTAGCCATTTTTATTTTGGCCATTCTGGTGGGTGATGTAGCATTCTCTCATTATGGTTTGAATTTTCCTGTTTTTAGATGAAGTTGACTTTGTTTTATGTGTGTTTACTGATTATTTGGATTTATTCCTTAGTGAAGAGTCTGTTGAAATATTTTTCTTATAATTGCATTTCTTTATATATTCTGAATAAAAGTTCTTTCTTGATTATACATATTGTAAACTTATTCAACTCTGAGGCTTGGCTTTTTACTCTTTTAATGGTGTAATTTAATTTGATGAAAACAAGTCTTTTATTTTATTTCATTTTAGTTGTCAATGGACCTTTATTTTATTTATTGATATGTGGTGCTGAGAATCAAACCCCGTGCCTCACACATGCTAGGCAAGTGCTCTGCCACTGAGCCACCACCCCAGCCCTGAAAGCAAGTCTTAGTGTAAGCAAATTTATTCATTTTTTTCTATCACAGTGCTTTTTGAATTAGCTTAAAAAAACTGTCCCCTACTTTTGAAGTCATAGATACATGCTTCCATGTTATCTTTAAAAACAAAACAATTAAAACTTTATTGTTTTTGCCTTCCAAATTTATGTCTATTATCTACCTGGAATTGATTTTTGTGTGTAATGTGGAGTCCAATTTCATTTATTTCCCATGTAGAACTATTTTTCTCAGAACAATTAGTTATTGAAAACTGTCCTTTAGGTATTGCTCTCCATTGCCACCATGACAACATAAATCAATTCCTATTTATGGGTGAGACTTTCATGGCTCTTTATTCTGTCCCATTGGTATGTTCTGTTCCACTGATATATATAACTCAATGTAGTATATCTCAATATATCAAGCCTAAGGAGTTGCTGGGCCCAGACTCTGACAGAAAATTTTAAATTACTTTGTCAAGTTTTTCTGTTTCATACACAGACAAATCTATTGATACAGCCTGGACTAGCCCTGAATATATAGATAAAATTGGAGAGACTTTGACATCTCTAAGTATTGAGTTTTCCAACCTATGAGTATGGTATAGCTCTGATTTATTTAGGTCTTCTTCAGTACCTTTCACTGTTTTCTTCATACAGATTTTGTATCTTATTCAAACGTCCTTGATATTTGTTGGAGTTACTCTAAATCATATTATTTTTTCCCTGGCATACAGAAATAACATTGATTTTTAAAAGTCTGATTTTGTGTGGTATTCAACTAAGGCCATGTTCTTGCTAGGCTAAAGCTTTACCACTGACCCCAAGACCCCAATTTAAAAAATCTATTAATTTTGTTAAACTCTTATTAATCATAATAAAATTTTGTTTTGGGGGGTTGGGGTGGGTGGAAGAATGCAACCCAGGGTGTTTTTATCACTGAGCTACACCTCCAGTTCTTTTTATTTTTTGAGACAGGGCCTCGCTAAGTTGCTGATTCTGCTCTGGAATTTAACAATCCTCTTGCTTCAGCCTCCTGAGTCGCTGGGATTACAGGTTTGTAATCTGTAATTAATTGTACTAATTTATCTGATATTCTTTTTGGCTTGTCATATACAAAATTCTATCCGTCAAAAGAGTAATTTTGCTTCCTCCTATTTGATCTTTAGTCCTCTTATTTTTCTTGCGAGGCTAAAGACCTTCGGTAGCGATATTGGGCACACTGGCACACTTAAAACACTAGTAAGCCTCGCGAGGGAGGGTTGGTGGGCTAACGGAAGGTCTGGAGACGGCGGCGCCCTCCTTTCTGCGCCTGCAGCGGGTTGGGGCGCCGGTACGCCTCTCGTAGGCTCCTTTTCCAATCCCAAGAAGCCGACCGCCCCTCTCTGGTTGCCGCGCAACCGCGTCACCCTGACCCGGAGCAGCTGCAGGGCTGCTAGGAGCACGTGCCATAGTCCCTAGGGCAGGGACTACGTTCCCCATAATGCCGCGCGTAAGGGGCGGCGGGCCCGGGGAGTTGGGGAAGGGCCGGGCTGGGAGGCGGAGCGGAAGCGGAGTGCGAGGGGCGAGAGGAGTACTATCTGCACACGCCGGGAGCCTACCTCGTCCTGACTCCAAACCCCGGCCTTTCTCCATCCCGACGTGGAGGCTGTTCCTCCACTGCGAGACGCAGCTGACGCCCGCTAATCGGCTTTGGCTGCGCCCCTCCGGCTCGGGAGCCCAGTGGCGGCGGCGACCGTGACGAGAAGCCCACGAGCAAGGTAATGAGGAGGGGCGACACAGAAGCGCGGGGAGGTGGCGGCTCCGCGGACCCGCCCGGGCCGCCCCTTCCCCGGCAGGGATCCCGCCCCCCGGGGCCTCTGCCGCCGCTACGGCTTCGGGACTGGCCGGCAGCCCCTGCCGCGGCGGGGAAGGCTCTTTGTCCCTCTCTTCCTTCGGCCGCGACCCTGCCCCCGGGATGTCACCGCCGCGACCCCGTGGACCCGGGGCGGAGGAGCGAGCGTGGCTCTGGCTGCGTGAGCGGAGCGGGGCGGGCTAAGTCCCGAGCTGCAGCGATGGGGAGCCCGGCGGCCGCCGCTCTCACTTCTTGTTCTGTTTTTGACAGCTCAGTTCTGTTCTACTTTGGGAAAGAGAGAGGAAGTCAGATGCCCTTTTTAAACTCGCTCTTCAAAACTCATCTCCTGGGTTACTGGTAAGGATGAACTTAAACGGCTTTGATATTGTGGAGCGTGACGCGAGAGCCTAGACCAGGGTTCGAACCCTGATTGTCTCGCTCTGAATTTGTGATCTTGGTTCATTAGAAGGTTCTAAGCCTGAGTTTTCTCACCTAGCAGTAGGAGATAATATTAGGATAGGATATGCCTGTTGTACCACTAGTTCTTCATTTGATGAAAAGAGCCTTTGAATGCGATACTTGAAATAGCTACGACTGAAGTGGCCTATGGACTTGTGAGTTTTGTGCTTTATTTTGTTTAATCATTAGCATCCTGGATTGTGTTTTTCACTTTATTTTTTGTTCACCTTAAACCTAAGCAAAAAAAAAAAAAAAAATCCTTGGAAATATGCCGTCTTCTTAATTTCCGTTGTTTTAAAATGGCTGAGAACGTTCTTAGGAAATTGATGACTCTGCTTTTCTGGGGATCAGCTGTAGAGATTCTGTACAAGGACTTATTCACCTCCCCATCCTCCCCAGCTGCGTCCTGTGGGGATCCTTAGAGGAGGTTAAATGTCTGTTTTGTCAGAGTCAGCATCTAGGTGTTCTGCAAACCTGCGGGGGTGGGGGGTGGCCCATGGGGGACTTTGCCAGTTTTATCCTCTTGTCAACTTTTTTGTACCTTCCTCTACACTTTCTCACTGGGTTCATAATTTTAGCTCCCTTTGGAATTGTGTTTCTAAGGTGTAGTTTTTGTTCTTAAGACACAATGAATGTGATATATTTGATAAGCAATGACTTGGAAAATTTCATGTTAGTCCCACTTCAGTTTTGATTGTTCTTGCACTCTTTTCGCCTTAATTTCTACTGAAATTGGTGGTGAGTTTTTCAAGGAAATACTTGTGGTCCTTAAATTGAATCTTATTTTTCATTTAAATGCCTGCTCTGTATTACTCTGAGTTCAGACACTATTTTGCAATATGTGAAATAACATGTCTTGAGTAAATGCTGTTTTTTACATATAGAATTGTAAGGGGTTGGGGAAAGGCAGTAGTCTAGATGAATTAATTGTCTGTAATTCTTTAGTGACAGGTGATTTAAAAAATATTTTTAATTATCAGTGGACCTTTATTTTATTTTTTATGGTGCTGAGAATTGAACCCAGTGCCTCACACATGCTCTACCACTGAGCCACAACACCAGCCCTATGACAGGTTTTTTTTAAAGCAATTTATATGAGGGGAAAGAAATTTAATGAAGATGTTTTATACAAGTAACTAGAGGGTCAGAGTAAGTAAGTGGAAAAAGGCATATGGACATAAAGATTTCTGGTTCGCTTTAATATGTTTGTCAAAAATACTCATTTTGAGGGAAATGTTTCTGTATTGGTGTTATTTAGTGCAGTGTAGGATGGAGAGTACAGACAGAAATAGGAGACCTTGGTTCTTGTCATAGCTCTGTCTCTATCTTTGTAACTGTAGGAAACTGTGTGGTCCTCCATTCTTTAATATACTGAATTGATGTGATTTCAAAGACTTATAGCTTAGGTTTTCATTGCTAAGGGTTTTTAAAGGTTCTTTTTAACATGAAAAAATTTGATATAGCTGGCATAGTCTGAAATCTCAGCTGTTTTGGGAGGCTGAGGCGGAGGATCACAATTCAAGGTCAAGGCCAGCCCCTGAATTTTAGGAAGACCATGTCTCAAAATAAAAAGGGCTGGGGATGGGATGTGGCTCAGTAGCAGAGTGCCCCCAAGGTTAATCTCCAGTTAAAAAAAAAAAAAAAAAAAAACTGCCAGAAATCAGAATCTACCAGTCAGCTCATCCCTCTCTCTCATGAGAGCTGCATGTTTTTCTCTGCATCCCCATACCCACCCCCAGTACTGGATACTGAACCTAGAAACACTCTACCACTGAGCTACATCCCAAGCCCTTTTCATTTTTTAATTTTGAGACAGGGTCTCTCTAAATTAACAAGGCTGGCCTCTAATTTGTAGCCTCCTGCCGCAACCTCCCAATAACTGGGATTACAAGTGTGTTGGTCATCATGATGTATTTTAGATGAGACCTTTACCATATTACAGAATTAAGTAGTTTTCCTTTTGCTATAAAATTTTCTATTTCTATTCCTGTATTGCTTTACCCTTTTTCCTCTATTTTTCTAATTTTCAGTACTATTGTCTTCTCCCTTTCCCAAAGATGCCATCTAAAGGTGATCTGATATCTTCATATTTGTATTTCTGTATCTCAGCAGGAATAGTGCAATTTCTCTCAAGGCAGTGCGGTTTTTTTTTTTTTTGGTAGTTGTGTTTGGAGAGCATGCCTTTATTTTATTTATTTTTATGTGGTGCTAAGGATCGAACCCAGTGCCTCATATGTGCTAGGCAAGCGCTCTGCCACTGAGCTACAGCCCCAGCCCCAAGGCAGTGCATTTTGTTATTTATTTTTACTTCTTATTTCTGGGGATTGAAACAAGTAACTGAACCCTCAGGCCCAAGGCAGTGCATTTTTAAATCTTAGACTTAATTTTGGAGTGCACGGCTGTGTCTGTATATAGGTATTAGCTCCAGGCAATATTTTGTAGAGAAACTATTTCAGGAATGGACTTTTCCCCAGAAATGACATTCTAGGGTCAGGTCTGCTGAGGGATCATTTCTGAGTCTTTTTTGGAAAGAACTATCTGCACCTCTGAGCTCTGTTGAACATACCATGTCTTTTTGTAATAAACATATGCCTCTCTGGCTGTAAATTCTTTTGAAGATTAATAAGCAGTGATTCTCATAGCACCTTTGACTGAGTTGAAAGCTGCTCTGCTCAATGGTTGCTGCTATTGTTGTTAATAGTTACTTTTAGCTATAAGTCATAACACTACAAAAATTAGAGCACTGAATAAGTGCAAAGATGGGATTTGAATGAGAGTTTTTAAGGTAGGATTAACCATCTGTTAATGTTTTTAATGTCATTGCAATGTTTGCATAAAAATGCATGGAAGTACTTCATGACAAGCAGTGTGAAATGAAGTGTTTTGAAAAGCTTTTTAACTGCAATTCACAGCAAGAGATCTTTTTAATTCAATACTTCATAAGTTTATAACTATGCACATGTGTATCTGGGTATGTAAAAATAAATTTTTAGAAAAATTTTACAAAAATTGTAGTAGTGTGTACAGTCTATTCTGGTGGTTTCTATTTTATAACTTTAAAAAATTTTTTAAAAAGTGCTAGTTGCAAATTGTTAAGGTGATTTTTGTTCCCTCCTTTTGAAAAACAATGGAGCAGGCCTGGAGATGTAGCTCAGTGATGTACCAGAGACCCTGGGTTTGATCCCCAGCATCAAAAAAAAAAAAAAAAAAAGAGGGCTGAGGTTGTGGCTCAGCAGTAGAATGCTCGCTTAGCATGTGCGGGGACCCAGGATTTGATCCTCAGCACCACATAAAAATAAATAAGCAAAAGGTATTGTGTCCAAACACAACTAAAAAATAAAATATTAAAAAAAAAAGAAAGAAACATTGGGGTCCTGAGTTCAGAGTTTGGATGCCTAATCTCTCCTCTTTTTTTTGGCATTGGATACTTATTAATCCTTTTTGTATTTCACTTTCCTTATCTTTTTAAAAAATATTTATTTCTTAGTTGTAGTTGGACACAATACCTTTATTTTATTTATCTTTTATGTGGTGCTGAGGATCGAATCCAGGGCCTCGCACATGCTAAGTGAGTACTCTACCGCTGCGCCACAACCCTAGCCTACTTTCCTTATCTTTATAAGGAAGGTTTTCTGGTTTAAGTATTTAATGATTCTTTGTCTTTACTTTTCTCTAGCAGTGGAGTTGGACTAATGTATTTATCTTTAGGTTTCTGGCTAGACAGAAGCCACTGAAAAATTGCCTAAATGTCTGGTTGTTTACATGGTGTATTATTTGGCAAGTGGCATAATAGAACTTTGAATACTATTTTTCCTAAAAAATCTTGTAAATTGGAGTGGAAACATTGGGGCTTGTAATAAATATGAAAATATAACACTTTTGTGTTAACAAAGAATATTTTAGAGTTTGAGAAACTGTACTTAAAATGCTTAGTATGTTAACATGCCCACAGATTGCTGCTCAGGCTTCGTTCCATGTCTCACCTTGCCACTGCCTCTTTCAATTAATTAAAACACCAAGAAGAATCTGTTTTTCTTTGTCTCTCTCTCTCTCTCTCTTTTTTAGTTGTAGATAGACCTTTATTTTACTTTATTTATTTATATGTGGTACTGAGAATTGACCCAGTGCCTCACACATGCTAGGCAAGCACTCTGCCACTGAGCCACAATCCCAGCCCAAGAATCTGGTTTTTTGTTTTGTTTTATGTAAAGGCCACCACATCAGATCATTACTGTTCCTTGTATATTACCAGACAATGAAACTGCTAGTCTCATAAGAAAGGGAAACTCAAGGCTTTATTTGCTTGTGGTTTCCTTCTGTTCACTTTGGATGATTTCTCTAGACCAGACTATTCCAGGCTAGGGATTGAGAGTTCTTTGATTCTTATTTGTTTGTACCAAAGATTATAGGAATAAGGAATTTAATGCCTGCTCCCAAGATTCTGGTCAGAAAAGGTTTTAGTTGGAAGGAAATTGGAACCACATTTTGTACTGCCTCAGATCAAATATTATATGCTTAGAAGGCCTTCCTTGACCCCATACCTCATATAGACTTCCCAGACTCATCAGCTAGTTTAAAGTTTCTTCACAACAATTTATTATAAGCTCAAATTAGCTTGTTTCTTTTTACTTATTTGTTGTCCCACTCCTACTAAAGCTTAGTATCTAGGAGAATGGAATTCTATCTTATTTCACCTTTTCACTTCTCCAGTTCCCAGCACATAGTAGGTACTTTAATAAGTATTTTGAATAAATGGATAAACAAATGAATGAATAAAACAAGTTCTTTTATGGTTTTAAACAAAACTCTTGTATAGTGAGGCCTGGGCCTTTATGCATTTTCCTCCAAAGTCTTTTTTATGGAAATAAAAAGAATAGTGATCCTGGTGAAGTTCTCTC